TGGTTGCAAATGTTTTATTCATAACAATGGTAAAGACAATTTAGGCAAATTTGATGCTAAGTCGGATGAAGGAATTTTTCTGGGTTACTCATTACGTAGCAAGGCCTATAGAGTCTTCAATAAACGTACCTTGACTATCGAGGAGTCTCCTCACATTGTATTTTCCGAAGATAACCCTCGCTTGGCGAGAAAGAATATTTGTGATGATCTTGCAGATTCATTAGAGAAAATACACGTTGATGACGATGAGGAGAACACGGGAATTTACACCAACACACAGCCACAAACTGAGGAAATGCCTCAAGAAGCTAACCAAGGTGATGAAGAAAGACAAGAGGAAGAAGAAGAACAAGCGGAACACGAAGAAGAAGAAGAAGCAACCGAGCTTCCTATTGCATGGAGAACAAACAAGAACCATCCGCTTGACCAGGTAATCGGATATATATCCTTCATCTCTACTCATTTTATATATATCCGCTTGACCATGTCACTTTTTTCAAATTCAAACGGTTTTCTCACCCTTTCCTATATATATCCTTCATCTCTACTCATTTTAACACACCTTTTTCACTTCAAAATCTCCTCTATTACATAATTCTTCATCATTTTGCTTCAATCATGGCCGGAGGAAAGAAGACAAAGGCTTCCAAGAAGAAGGGCAATGCCGAAGCTACGACCTCTGCGCCCCAGCCATTTCCGTACCTGGACGGATCCTTCTTGGAGTTCGGGTCGGAAGAGGAACTCTCTCGCTTCATCACCCACTTCGCCAAGCGCCCCATCTCTCCGCCAAGAGTGCTGCCCGAGATATACCCTCAACAAAAGGGGTACCACGACCTCGACAATCAACTCAAAGAGTCGGGTCTGTGGTCGTTCGTCTCCAGAAGCCGTCAATCATACAAACCCGCCTACGTCCGGGCTTTCTACTCAAATCTCCGCCGGGACGGGGACACCATTCACAGTAGCATCAATCTCTACGACATAGAGATTGATTTGGCTACCTTCGCTCGGGTGGCAGGGCTGCCCACCCGCGGTGACGACATCGCAACATATGGAGGCGATGATTGGATCCTCAACAATGAGGCGGTGGTCATCCGAGAGCTGGGAATCACCAACCTCGTCCGTCACAGCGGCGCACCAACCATTCACTCAGCCCCGCCAGAGAAGCGTCTTCTACTCTATATCCTCACCCGGATTCTTCGCCCCTGGGACGGTAGCCACACGTGCCTCTTCAACGAGGATCTCAAGGCCGTTCATGCTATCACCCATGGCGCCTCAATCAATTGGGCAAAATACGTCATGATTCACATGGCGGATTGCGCCTCCATCACCAACGAGCGGAGCTTGCCATACGCCTTTCTCGTCATGGACCTCATCGTCTCCGCCGACATCCACATCGCCGGCCCGGATACAAAGATGACGAAGATTTGGATCATCTAAGATAGCACCTTCCGGAAGAAGTCCGGAGACCAAGACGGCGCCGGACCAAGTCGTACCCGTGCACCAGCCCGTGCCCCTGCCCCCGCTCCCGCCCGGGCCTCGTTGCAATCCATAGCCGATACTCTGAATCGGCAAACCCTCATAGTGGATGGCATGGGGCAGTCAATCGAGTGGATGGATTGGACGCTGCAACGTCAACACCATGAGGCAGTCAATCGAGCGGCATCAACTACGTCCCGCCTCCCTTTGACAGCACCATCCTCGGCCAGAACTATGAAGGCGAGGACGAGGAGGATGACTCCTATGCTCCGTCTTCCTCCCCCGACGAGGCCGACTTTGAGGACGAGGTCGACGGGGATCCCATAGACGTTGAGGACGACGAAGAAGACAATGACGGCGAGGACGAGGACGCCGCCGCCTAGACTTTTCTCTCTTTTCCTTCCTTACTATGCTTGTATTTTTTTTAACTTCCATTCCGTTGGATTCTGCATTTCCCTTTTTTTAAAGAAATAAAAGTTTACTTTTCAAATCTAAAGTTTACTTTTTATTCTTTTTGTTAATGTCAAAAGGGGAAGATATCTCAGTTATGCATAAATTGAGGGGGAATTTTTTTTAAAATGGCATCTATTAAGTGGGAATATTTTTTAAAGAAGTCTCAAAATTATCCTCCTATGCATAACCTCATCTCGTTTGCCATTATCAAAAAGGGGGAAATTGTTGAAACACGGACTTGTCACGTTTTCGTACTAAAGCCGTGTTTGTTTTTATGACAGGTTTTGATAATGTCAAACCGCCGTGATCAAGTCAAACTTTGAATATACAAGGCGAAGAAGGAAGACAAGAACAAGAGCTAAAAGAAGACCAAGAACGAAGACCTTAGTCTTAGTGTCGTTGAGTCGGTCTTCATTGTGATCAAGACCGACCCAATCTTTACACCTTGGCTCTTTAGGCTAAAATCCTTCATTGCATTTCTTAAATCATAAAAATGTTTTTCAAACATTTTTAAGTCATTAAAAACACTTGGTGTTCGCCCAAACCAAACACCAAGCCATCCAGCGTTCGGGTTTTCAGAAACCAGCGTTCGGCTCTCAGTTATCGGCTATGGTTTTTGGCGTCCGAACCAACCAAGTGGTTTTCAACTTTTTATGATTGGTTTTCACTATTTGGCATGTTTAAACGGTTCTCCAACAAAAACACTTTGAAAACCATCTTTCGCTCTTGGTCATTTGACAAAAACCATTCAAAACGGCATAAACTTGGCTAGCCGTGGTTTTCACTCAAATGACGTGATTTTTAAAGTGTCTTACGTGATTTCTTATCCAAATACATCAAATAAGTGTTTTAAACACTTGGTTTTTATTTTGGAGAACTTTGAATTTTTCGGTCGAGTTTCGCATCGGTTGGCTAGGCCGTGGTTAAGGCAAAAACCATGGGTTCTTGACTAACCACCCACCCAGCGATGGGAAGATTTTCCCATCGATGGGTAAGCGGTCCCTAAGCCAAACCTACTTCTAGAACCATGCCAAACAGCGATGGGGAGTTCTACCCATCGCTGTTAAAGCCTTGGTGCAATATTAACACAAGGCAGAACGACCTTACCCAGCGATGGGAAACCTATCCCATCGATGGGAACCCAGCGATGGTAAGGGTATACCATCGATGGGAAATCTTGACCGTTGGTGGTCATTAAAGGTTGATTCTTTCCTTGTTTGGAAGTCATCCTCTCACCCAGCGATGGGAAGCTTGTACCCATCGATGGGTAGGTGACCGTTGACTTCAAAACTGAAGAAAAATTGGCTTACCTGCGATGGTTGAGTCTAAACATCGATGGGATGCCAATATTCTGCAGATCCCAAATCTTTTCAATCCCATAAATCAAGCCAATCACCCCTTTAATGCATTGGTCCGTTGGAGCCTTCTTTGGCACTATAAAAAGGGGTGTTTGGGTCTGCTTTTCTCACCAATTCACTTCACAACATCTATACTTTCATTGCATTCAAACATCATCATTTTCCATAGCTTTCTAGAGCCATTTTTGTGTGAAAGTTGAATTGTTCTTGAGCGTACTTAGTTTACTCATAATCTACTCTATAAGAGAGTCTCGTTCTTGAGTGTACTTGTGTTCTTAGACACGTTGAGAGATAGTATCTCTCTCGGTTGATTCAAAGGAAGGTCTGTTTCCTTTGAAGGATTCGTTGAGGTTCGTGTGACTCGAACTCTCAAGTTGTAACGGTTTGTTAAGCACCCGTAAGCTTAACAAGTTAGTAGTGTAGCTCGAGAGAGTNTTGTTCTTGAGCGTACTTAGTTTACTCATAATCTACTCTATAAGAGAGTCTCGTTCTTGAGTGTACTTGTGTTCTTAGACACGTTGAGAGATAGTATCTCTCTCGGTTGATTCAAAGGAAGGTCTGTTTCCTTTGAAGGATTCGTTGAGGTTCGTGTGACTCGAACTCTCAAGTTGTAACGGTTTGTTAAGCACCCGTAAGCTTAACAAGTTAGTAGTGTAGCTCGAGAGAGTGTCTCGTGAGGCTGGATTAGCCACAAGTTGTGGTGAACCAGGATAAAATTCGGTGTGCCTTTTACTCTTCTCTTTACTTCTCTCTTAATTTTTTAATTCCTGCGATTTCTCCGATCAAACGCTATTCACCCCCCCTCTAGCGTTGGTCTATTATTATAACACTTATTCCAAAACAAAGGATCCTAAAATTGCACCCAATGGTTACAAATTAGCCACCACAATGTTTACTAAGCCAAAACTGCTTGATACTAAACGAGATGCTAAAGAGGGAAAAGACCCGCATAACCTTGACAGCTTCCAAACTAACTGCGTAGAAGGCTAGGAGAACCATGGTGTCCCGTTCTAAATATGAGAGTTATAAATAATATGAGAAATCATAGTCATCCTCAATATCATCCGTATCCATTGTATTGTTTGCACTGAGTGCTAAGTTAGCCATCTCCAAAGTTTGTGCATGTTTGAGTTTCTGTTTCGCCTTCCTTTTCTGTTTCTTGCTAAGTTTTGGTTGAGATTCCAAAGAAGGTGCACTAGACTGGTTTTTCCTCCCCCGATTGTCGAGCATGTCTTCTTGAATGCGGAGCGGATGCCCTTCACAGTAAACTCTCCCTCATCTTCAGATGTGTCAGCTCCCTTAATGGGATTTTCTTTCCTTCCTGCACCTATTATCTTAGCCCTACTCCTAGTAACCATATGAGATGGTGAAAAGGTTGGCTTACCCTTAGCTAATTTAGGAAGCAACATCGACACCTTAGAGCATCTAGAGGTGTTTATTCTAATTGGTTCAACTTTGGAGTCAATAAACACCGTGGTTTCTCCTTCCGAGTGGGTGTAGAGTGCTGGTTCATCATTTTCCGGGGCTGCATCCTCAAGTGCGTTAAGTTTCATCACCCGATGATAAGATGTGCAGTTAAACATCTCAATCATGTCCCCAATGTTGATGATTTTACGTGTCTCCTCCGGTTCTTCAAGGGTTATGTCATCATTGGAATCAAGTACCTCAAATGAGTTATAGGAAATGGGGATAAACGGGGCAGCTTCAGGAGACAGCGACCTGACCACTGTAAGTTCACCACAACCAAGAGGACCAAACGCGCCTGACATTGACCCTGCATCTTCCCTCCCTATCAGCAAGCTTGGAGCAGCTTCCTTACTGAGTGGAGCAACTACGTTACTGAGTGCTTGACACCCAAACCCTGAAATGTCCCAGTCAAACAAAAGTATGGAGCAAGAGAATTCAATCTGCCCTACCCCTCGATCTATGTCCAACAATTCCAAGTCCCTTGCGAAGCAGTTGTAGTTCTGAGGTGATTCATTTTCCCAACACAGAGAGGGTTTAGAGGCTGAAATTGCTTGCCTAAATGTCTCTTGGATTGGAAACCATTCTCCACAGTCTCTACTTTCAAAGTTTCCAGTACTTAGCCTTACCCTATCTGGTATTCTCTCGGAAGTGTTGCCAGAATCCTTTCTGAGTGAGGCAAAAGCTGAGTTCTCCAATGCGCTACGAAAGAAAAATTTAAGCTTTTTTGTAAAGTTTGTTAGCAACTGGAATTGATTTCCTACTGGAATCAAGACCTTCCTGCTGCCCTCAACTCTTTTCTCAGTAATAAGAACATGATTCACATTGTCTTCATAAGCTACAACAATCACCCTGTTACCTATATACTTGCTAAACACCCAACTTGGCTCAGTATTAATTCTCATAAGGCAGTCCAAAATCCAATTGAATAGATCAGAGTTTAACCAAATTATACTATTATTTTTACCCTCTCCTGCCAAACAGAAAGTTTGGTTGAGATATGAGTGGAAGAGATTGAAAACTATTTTACCCAATTGGAATGAGGCTCTCAAATTTCTTGTCTGCCAAGGAGGGTGGAAGAGTTGTAGTGGTCCATCATCTTCAACAAAAATCCTCTGGCTTGAGTTGGATGAGTTCCGTCCGTTTGGGGAGTTATTGAAAGGTCTCCGATTGAGAACCTTAGGAGGATTCCTGTGATTAAAAACCTCTGCCTTGAGTTGGGTGTGTTCCGTCTGTCTAGTACCATCTTCATTCCTTCTTTCATCTCTAGAAGATCGGCGAAGTTGAGGTTGTCGGATCTTTGAAAACCGTTCTTGGGGACGGCTGCGAGATTCGTCCCTTTCCCCCCAATCTCTATGCCTTCTTCGATCCCTGTAGAAGTGGTGTTGAAATGGTTGACAGAGCTCTATGAAACTGCCTTGGGGACAGCTGCGAGACTCCCCTAGCTCCCTCCATCCGCTTGATCTTCTTCAATATCTGTAGGGGTAACGATAAGGTTGCGGGATCTCTAAATGAGGGGCTTGGGGACGGCGGCGAGGTACCTAAATTTTGAAGGAAATTTATATTAATGGATAATGAGAATTGTTTACAGCAATGTGGTAGATGACTTCTACCCACCCGGGAAAATTACGAGGTACCTAAGCACCTAAGCAATGAAGATTAATTCTACTACGATACAAACAGAACCCAAAAGATTTCATTTTATCGTCCAGATTCATCCATTTCTTCTCCTTATGAATCCATATCCATTGCTGGATTGTCTTCAAAGTGGTAGCGATGATTGTCCCTTCTTTGAAGGCCTTTCCCTCGTATTTTTCAGCGTTATAAGCCTTCTATAATCCCCAATATATATATATATATATATATATATATATATATATATATATATTTTGATTTTAAAAAGTGAGATATCCTATAATATATATATATATATATATATATATATATATATATATATATATATATATATATAACTCAAGGATACAAAAGTTTAAAGTAACACAACTTGAAAATCATGGAAATATAAAAACTAAGCCATCATCAAATTATAGTTCCATAAGCAGTATCAAAAATCTAGTGTCAAAATAAATAGTGAGTTCCAACATCAATTGATCCTCTAATAATGAGTTCCAAAAAAATAAAAAAGAAATGCAATAGAGTCATTATATTGTTATATGATATGCTCTCTAACAATAGTGTCTTCATCAAATTCCCACAAGCCCTGCCAAGTCAGCCATGCCATGCCAAATCAATTTATCCTCGAACTAGTATCTTATACATAGGCCTGACTTTAATTTACAAGAAAGATTTACCATCTTTTCTTGTGTTATTATCTTTGCTCGACATCTGCAAAGTCCAAAGAACATATTTGAATTAAATCTCTATCATATAAAAATTAAGCAAAAATAGAGACATCAAAGATTACGAATACAATGCTTGTATATATATATATATAGTTTGGAAAATCAGCCTTATCTTTCTCATAAATGTTCACTTTCTTTTCAACAAATTCAATGAAAACTCCTGATTCAGAATAATAAGGTGTTCTTAAGTTCCTTGTTAACACACACTGTAACGCCCCGAATTTAGGCCTAAAAGAATTAATTAATTTAAATATTAATTAATGACTGAGACAAACCCAAACACTGAAAAACAAAAGTTTTCAGAAAAATATTTTAATTATATCAAAATTTTATTTTGACAGTCTGATTCCAAATATGCAATCCGTTCTCAATTCGGAACGGTTTGGGCGAAAAAGCGCGTACCGTTTTAGCCAGTTTATCACTTACGGAGTAGGAGAATACTTTTAAATCTCCAAATCCTCTCAATCACGCAGCCCAAATTTCCAAAGTCTTCAATTAGGCCACCCTAGGAACTCCACTAACCTAATGCTTCCAAAAATGAGGTATATTAAATTAACCCCTTCCCTACTTTGTCAAACCTACACATCACAACCCTCAATTACTCTCTCTTCACTCTCTCTCTCTGTCGGCCAAGTCTCAAGTAAGAAGAAAGGAGACTTCATATCCATTGCTGAGCTAAGGAAGAAGAAGGAGCAAGAAGAAGTACCAAAAGTTTCCAAAATCCTGAGTCCAAAACGCAGCAGCAACTTCATCGTAAATTCTGTAATTTTCTATCCATTTTCTTGAATTATTTATTATACCAAAATCGTAGCCCCGGACGTTACGAATCCAACCCAACAAACAGTTCGTGATTTCGTTAAGTATCGAAGGAGATATGGCCAAAATACCGGGACTGCTCCAGTGGTGGAGAGCTCCTCGGGTTGGCTATGTTTCTTCATCATTTTTACATCGTTTCTTTCCAAATACTTACCGTCAACTCTCTCGTGGTTACTAGGAACTTCCGGAGGTTATTTCCAAGAAGATTGGGCATAGGAAGCTCGAAGTAGATAGGGGTGACCGTACGTTGAACGTTCGTTGAGGCATATTATTATCTTTCTATCTTTCCGACCTCTACGATATCAAGGCGAGTACATTGCACCCTAGTAACGCAATCCTTGGTTGAATATCAATCTAGATATATCATTAGGATTGATTGCCATATTATAAGTTATTTATGCTTTAAGATCAAACTCATTGAACTCATAAAGTAAAACTATGTTTTTCTTGATACTTTACTTCAACCGTCGCGTTAAAAATCGAAACGGAGCAAGACTGTCAGACAAACAGTCGACCGCCGGTGGCCAACGGTCGACCGCCGCCTGCCCATCCAAGGACCGCCGTCCACCTCCAGTCAACAACGGTTGACCACCGGTCAACCGCGGTCGATCGTCACGGTGATCCTACAACCCGACGTGATGAAGATCAAGGTCGACCGTCGCGACAAACGGTAGACCGTTCCGAGCCCCGTTGCTTATTTAAATGATATTTTTACCATGTTTCACCCAAATAAATCAATGTATGATTACATATTCACATTATTACAAATTGTTCATATCATATGATTCATTTCATCATCCATTCTAAAGCATATCATATCATATGCATGCGTAAGAGATCATGCCTAGTGCGTCTCTTATAGTTGTGATTGTGCGGGACTTAGCAGTCCGACATCACTGATCGGGCTTACTGTACGTACATGGTATTCAGGCTTTCGAGTACCACCCCTACTTTTCTAGTCTCCCTTGTGAGACTAAGGTGGCATGAGTTCGTCGTACCAAATTGGCGAATCTCATAGGGCAAGGTCGTTCCTTGTAAGTTAGAATCATACAGCATGAAATCATCATCAAGTACAATCCTTATGACCATGTATGACATCAATTACGTATCATTATCATCATCTTGAGCATACATGTTATATTATGCCATATCATGAATAATTATATGTCTACTTGCTATTCAACTTGGAACTGTTTTAAATTATTCCTCAAATTATCATGCGTATTTACCATCATGGTAACTACTCCGGCTCAAATAATCTAGGTAATTGGGTTATTTGAGTTGGGGTGTTACAATTTGGTATCAGAGCATTCGATTTTTAAAAAAAATGATTTTGGAAATCAAATCAAAAGAGTTTCAAACACAAGTCCGCATCTCTCCACATCTCGGCCCGGGAAGGTAAAACAATTAGTTTACTTATGACTAATTATATTTTAAATTAATTATAGAATGAGTCAAGATTCGACTCACGGTCAGGCAAACCCTCACGTGGAGCCTGAACACGTTAGTGTGCATACGGTGCACACTGAGGCATCCAGCTACGTACCTCAACAACATCAGCCTCAGCCGGAACCTCAGCCAGTTCCGGAGCAGTTCGCGGGTCAGAACCCGAATTTGGCCATCCCGATGTTCCAACCACACATGGTTGCGAACATGTTCCAATTCTTCCAACAGATGGCTGGAGCGCACGTACCACCACAACCTCCTGCAACCATTGTTTCGATTGAAAAACTCAAGAGGAATGGGGCGCAGGAATTCTGTGGCGACCAGATAGCGGACCCTCAAATAGCCAAGCGTTGGCAAGAACGCACGGTGAGGGTACTAGAGAACTTGAAGGTACCTGTCGAGGATTGGGGACAGCACGCCATATCCCTATTGCAAGATGCCGCCTATGACTGGTGGAAGCGAGTGGGTGCCAACATTCCCGTGCCGGTAGCATGGGATACCTTCGGCCACTTTTCAGAGCAGAGTATGTGCCCGATCACTACGTCGAGGCCAAATATGAGGAATTCTCCAATTTCACTCAGGGGAAGCTGACTCTTCCCGAGTACCATCAACAATTTGACGGATTGGCCGAGTTTGGTAAAGACTTGGTCAACACCATGGAGAAGCGCTGCAAGAAATTCATCAAGGGTATGAGACCAGACCTGTCATCAACACTCATAATTGCTCCCTGAGCCGACATCAACGATGTCTATAAGAAAGCTCTTGAGCTGAACGGGGAGCTCATCAGGAAAGCTGCGTATGAGCAGGCACTACTGGCAGAAAGTCGGACCGTCCAATCGGGCCCGAAGATGGGACATGGTAGCAAGAGGACTTTCTCCGCACCGAGCAACTCCCGCCATGATAAGCGAGCAAAATCTACTCCCTCTGCATCTGTGGCTATTACTAGTAAAAGCGGAAAAGAGAAAGTGACATGTCGTAATCCTATATGTTCACTCTGTGGCCGCAGGCATGCTAGTGAGTGTTGGCTTACACAGGGTCTTTGCCTCGGGTGTGGTCAGTCAGGTCACTTTCGAAAGGATTGCCCGACGAACCCAGGCGAGGTTTTCTTAACAGCACCAGGCACGCCGGGTGTTTCTACTGTCCGACGGGCCGAGCCTACCCAGAGTCATCGTTCCACGGCCACGTCTAACCAACCGAAGAAACCAGCAGCCAGCCAGCAGCAAGGACGAACACCAGCTCGTACATATGCCATGCAAGGGCGTACTGATCCGCAGGCTAATGATGTCATCATGGGTATGTTCACTTTATTTGATATCACTGTATCTGCATTAATTGACCCTGGATCTACCTTATCATACATATGTGTACCTATGCCTGTTACATCTGACGTCACTAAGGAAACTCTCGAGCATCCAGTAGTTGTGTCGAACCCACTGGGACACAGTCTACGTCTCCAACATGTTTATAATTAATGTCCGTTGATGGCTCAAGGAAAGATATTCTTAGCCGATCTCATTGAACTTTCTCACAAGGAGTTTGACGTTATACTTGGCATGGACTGGTTGACAAAACACCAGGCTATTGTCGAGTGCAAGGAACGAGTGGTGAAACTTCGTACAGACGAGAGTAACGAAGTGATCATTCGGGGAGAACTTCTGCCGAAAGCCCCGGAATTCATCTCTTATATGCAAGCAAAACGGCTTATTCGCAGGAAATGCGAAGCATTCTTGTGCACCGTGAAGGATATGCAGAAGGAAACTCCTAACCATAAGGACATATCTGTGGTTTGTGACTTTCCTGATGTATTTCCTGAAGAACTTCCTGGTCTGCCTCCTCCAAGGGAAGTAGAATTCTCAATTGATCTTGTACCTGGTACAGGACCCATCTCAGCATCACCTTATCGAATGGCTCCTGCAGAAATGAAAGAATTGAAAGCCCAATTGCAGGAGTTGTTAGATAAAGGTTTCATCCGTCCTAGTGTTTCCCCGTGGGGAGCACCTGTCCTTTTCGTCCGTACGAAAGATGGATCGATGAGATTATGCATTGACTATCGTCAGCTGAACAAAGTGACGATCAAGAACCGTTATCCATTACCCCGTATTGATGATCTGTTTGATCAATTACGAGGTGCGACTGTTTTCTCAAAGATCGATCTCAGATCAGGTTACCATTAGATTCCTGTGAAACCAGAAGACATTCCAAAGACAGCGTTTTGTACACGTTACGGACATTATGAATTTACCGTTATGCCCTTTGGCTTAACGAACGCACCAGCTGTATTCATGGATCTCATGAATAGCGTCTTCAGACAATATCTGGATCAATTTGTCGTGGTCTTCATCGACGATATCTTAGTATACTCAAAAACACCAGAGGATCATGCTGAGTATTTGCGCATCGTGTTGAGTATTCTGAGGAAACACAAGCTTTATGCCAAACTTTCTAAATGTGAATTTGGGCTGAATGAGGTAACTTTTCTCGGTCACGTGATTTCCGCAGAAGGAGTCAAAGATGACCCATGCAAAATTTCAGCAATCACTGAATGGAAAACTCCACGCAATACACGTGAGGTACTGAGTTTCCTTGGACTCGCTAGTTATTATCGTCGCTTCGTGAAGGATTTCTCTCGAATCGCTACACCACTTCATAAACTGATGAAGAAGGATGTCAAGTTCGCTTAGACAGAAGCTTGTCTGAAAAGTTTCGAATAGTTGAAAGAATGTTTGACTCAGGCACCTGTGTTGGTTCAACCGACACCTAGTATTGAATACACAGTTTTTAGTGACGCATCACACAAGGGACTTGGGTGTGTATTGATGCAGGAAGGCAAGGTCATAGCTTATGCGTCACGACAGCTGAAACCTCATGAATGTAATTATCCGAATCATGATTTGGAGTTAGCAGCTGTTGTTCTTACATTGAAAATCTGGAGACACTACTTACACGGCGAGACGACTCGCATATTCACCGATCACAAGAGTCTACAGTATTTGATGAGCCAGAAGGAGTTAAACCTTCGACAGAGAAGGTGGCTAGAGTTGATTAAGGACTATGACTGTCACATCGCTTATCATCCCGGTAAAGCGAATGTGGTGGCCGATGCTCTTAGTCATAAGACTCTTGCTGAACTCCACATACGACCCACCTTAGATCAGGATATCATTTCAGCACAGCATCAGGATACATTCTGTCTCGAGACACGTGAGCTTGTTTCCAAGGGAGAGAAACAAGACTTTTCTGCTCGAGATAATGGTACACTATACTATCGGGATCGTTTGGTAGTACTATCAGGTGATGTGAGAGATCGCTTATTGCGTGAAGCTCACGGAACCATATATACCATGCATCGCGGTAGTAACAAAATGTTTCAGGATCTGAAGAAACACTATTGGTGGTCAGCCATGAAAAGGGAAATAACCGAATTCACATCAAGGTGTACGACTTGTCAACAAGTCAAAGCCAAACATCAGGTACGTACAGGACTTTTACAGCAGATCACTATTCTTGAGTGGAAATGGGACCGCGTTACGATGGATTTCGTAATCGGATTACCATTGTTGCCGAGGAAGAATGATGCAGTATGGGTTATTGTTGATCGTTTGACGAAATCGGTGCATTTCTTACCAATTCGGAGAGATTTTACATTACAGCGTCTGGCTGAGCTGTATATCCTTGAGATTGTTAAACTACATGGAGTACCATCGTCCATCATTTCAGACCGCGATCCTCGATTTACTTCCCAATTTTGGAAGAGCTTACAAAAAGCTCTCGATTCCAAACTACATTTTAGTACAGCTTTTCATCCTCAGACTGATGGACAGTCTGAGAGGACTATTCAGATTCTTGAAGATATGATGCGAGCGTGCGTCATTGATTTTGGAAACAATTGGGAAAAATATCTTCCTCTGATGGAATTTGCCTATAACAATAGTTATCAAGCAAGTATTGAAATGGCTCCGTATGAGGCACTGTACGGAAGGAAATGTCGGACACCAGTTTGTTGGACTGAATTGAGTGAGAGAAAACTCGAAGGTCCAGAACTAGTGCGCGAAACGGAGGAGAAAGTTCAGTTGATCAGGGAACGACTTCAAATAGCAGTAGAAAGACAGAAATCTTATGCAGACCTCAAGCGACGCGATATCGAATATGCTATTGGTGACAGGGTATTATTGAAAGTTTCTCCTTGGAAGAAGGTTTTACGTTTTGGCAAAAAAGGGAAACTCAGTCCGAGGTTTATAGGCCCATACAAAGTTACAGAACGTGTGGGACCTGTAGCCTACAGGTTGGAATTGCCGCCAGAACTAAACAAGATTCACAATGTTTTCCATGTATGGATGTTAAGGAGATACAGATCAGATCCCTCTCACATCATTCCAACAGAGACTGTCACTCTAGATGAGAATCTTTCCTATGAAGAGGAACCTGTAGAGATTCTTGCACGAGAAGTTTGAGTATTGAGGAATAAAACTGTACCCTTAGTTAAAGTGCTTTGGAGGAGTCACTCTGTCGAAGAAGCAACCTGGGAAAGGAGTCTATGCGATCTCAATATCCACAACTCTTTAGCGACCAGTGATCAGGTAATTTCGAGGACAAAATTATTTTAAGGGGGAGAGAAATGTAACGCCCCGAATTTAGGCCTAAAAGAATTAATTAATTTAAATATTAATTAATGACTGAGACAGACCCAAACACTGAAAAATAAAAGTTTTCAGAAAAATATTTTAATTATATCAAAATTTTAGTTTTGACAGTCTGATTCCAAATATGCGATCCATTCTCAATTCGGAACAGTTTGGGCGAAAAAGCGCGTACTGTTTTAGCCAGTTTATCACTTACGGAGTAGGAGAATATTTTCAAATCTCCAAATCCTCTCAATCACGCAGCCCAAATTTCCAAAGTCTTCAATTAGGCCACCCCAGGAACTCCACTAACCTAATGCTTCCAAAAATGAGGTATATTAAATTAACCCCTTCCCTACTTTGTCAAACCTACACATCACAACCCTCAATTACTCTCTCTTCACTCTCTCTCTCTATCGGCCAAGTCTCAAGTAAAAAGAAAGGAGACTTCATATCCATTGTTGAGCTAAGGAAGAAGAAGGAGCAAGAAGAAGTACCAAAAGTTTCCAAAATCCTGAGTCCAAAACGCAGCAGCAACTTCATCGTAAATTCTGTAATTTTCTATCCATTTTCTTGAATTATTTATTATACCAAAATCGTAGCCCCGGACGTTACGAATCCAACCCAACAAACAGTTCGTGATTTCGTTAAGTATCGAAGGAGATATGGCCAAAATACCNGGAGCAAGAAGAAGTACCAAAAGTTTCCAAAATCCTGAGTCCAAAACGCAGCAGCAACTTCATCGTAAATTCTGTAATTTTCTATCCATTTTCTTGAATTATTTATTATACCAAAATCGTAGCCCCGGACGTTACGAATCCAACCCAACAAACAGTTCGTGATTTCGTTAAGTATCGAAGGAGATATGGCCAAAATACCGGGACTGCTCCAGTGGTGGAGAGCTCCTCGGGTTGGCTATGTTTATTCATCATTTTCACATCGTTTCTTTCCAAATACTTACCGTCAACTCTCTCGTGGTTACTAGGAACTTCCGGAGGTTATTTCCAAGAAGATTGGGCATAGGAAGCTCGAAGTGGATAGGGGTGACCGTACGTTGAACGTTCGTTGAGGCGTATTATTATCTTTCTATCTTTCCGACCTCTACGATATCAAGGGGAGTACATTGCACCCTAGTAACGCAATCCTTGGTTGAATATCAATCTACATATATCGTTAGGATTGATTGCCATATTATAAGTCATTTATGCTTTAAGATCAAACTCATTGAACTCATAAAGTAAAAATATGTTTTTCTTGATACTTTACTTTAAATGAAAATATAAGTGTTAAGAATATTTCAAATCCATAGATATGTTAATCATAAGTGTTAAAATAACTCAAAGAAGTATTTTAGATATCCAAAAATATCAAAAAATAGGATTCACAGACCCGAACGGTCGACGTAAACGGTCAACCGTCGCGTTAAAAATCGAAACGGAGCAAGACTGTCAGACAAACGGTCGACCGCTGGTGGCCAACGGTCGACCGCCGCCTGCCCAGCCAAGGACCGCCGTCCACCTCCAGTCAACAACGGTCGACTGCCGGTCCACCGCGGTCGACCGTCACGGTGATCCTACAACCCGACGTGATGAAGATCAAGGTCGACCGTCGCGACAAACGGTCGACCGTTCCGAGCCCCGTAGCTTATTTAAATGATATTTTTACCATGTTTCACCCAAATAAATTAATGTATGATTACATATTCACATTGTTACAAATTGTTCATATCATATGATTCATTTCATCATCCATTCTAAAGCATATCATATCATATGCATGCGTAAGAGATCATGCCTAGTGCGTCTCTTATAGTTGTGATTGTGCGGGACTTAGTAGTCCGACATCACTGACCGGGCTTAGTGTACGTACATGGTATTCAGGCTTTCGAGTACCACCCCTACTTTTCTAGTCTCCCTTGTGAGACTAAGGTGGCATGAGTTCGTCGTACCAAATGGGCGAATCTCATAGGGCAAGGTCGTTCCTTGTAAGTCAGAATCGTGCAGCATGAAATCATCATCAAGTACAATCCTTATGACCATGTATGACATCAATTACGTATCATTATCATCATCTTGAGCATACATGCTATATTATGCCATATCATGAATAATTATATGTCTACTTGCTATTCAACTTGGAACTGTCTTAAATTATTCCTCAAATTATCATGCGTATTTACCATCATGGTAACTACTCCGGCTCAAATAATCTAGGTAATTGGGTTATTCGAGTTGGGGTGTTACACACACGAGTTAGTTGGGGTGTTTTCAGACAAATCAAACTCATTCAAAGCCAATTCTTTCACCCTTGAAATCTGATTTTTGAGCTTCAACATGCTAGTCATGATGAGGAAACAAGAAATTAGTCTGCTGGTGTTGGTATTTCCCTTGAAGGAATGGTAAGTGAGGGAAGTCAGGGGTATCTGCTTCCCCCGCCCTTTCCAAATCCGTTAGACAGGTCATAGGTGCATGCTTCAAGGCCTACTACAAAAGGAAAAGCTTAAATACCAAGCAAAGCACAACTAGCTTTTAATTTAGTCTCCAGCAAGCACAAAACATCAAAGTCTTCTCTTTGTGTAGTCACTAAGCTCCAAGTTTGATCATGAAAATGAGCTTTAAGAAAATGAACTAAGCAGCTTTTGAGTTTTTGTATGGGTTTAAAAACCCTTTACCACAAACAAGAGCTTTCTGGAATCAACAAATTCCAAGAAAATGAAGTAAAGAGCTTTTGGGTGTTTGTATGGGTGTAAAAACCAGCATTCTAATCAATTTGGTTCTTAACTACTGCCATTCTTTTAATCTCTTTTCAAATTTGATATCAAATGCCAAAGTTTGGTTCAAGTTAAACTCAGAGAACTGAACACAATGACTGTAAAAATCAGCATTCAAAAATCAGAAAACTGAACACTGAAAATTTATGACTGTAACTCCAAAAACTGAACACTGAACCCTGAAAATTGAACAATGACTTTAAACTCAGAAAACTGAACACTAAACACTATGACTGAACACAATGACTATAAAAACCAGCATATATATATATATATATATATATATATATATATATATATATATATATATACAATATAATGTACTTACAAGTATAGATCTTTCGAGCTTTTCATGTAGTATTGTGTTTAACAGATTTGGTTCTGCCTTATTCTTGCACAAACCAGTAGCCTGTAGATATGAAACGCACAGACACATAAGATTTTCTAAAATAATAAAAGGATAAGAAAACTTTCAAACTATTAATTTAATTTCAATTTTTACCACTCCCTCTAAGAACAGAAGAACAAATTCTCTTTTTGCTGGAGATCGATAATTTTGTAGTTCATGAGGGTAATCCTTTAGTAGTTTGTCCACCAATAAGTCAGGTTTTGGGAGAGTGGGTTGGGTAGGTGGAAGCAGATCTTAACCCTACCTATAGAGATTGAGAAGATGTTTCCTATATGCCTCGTAAATTAGTGTCAAACTAACTGTTCTAAACTAGTTGACAGTTGACACTAAATTTCAGCTACCAATCTGTTATGGTTTCATGTGTTTAAATGGAAGCAATTTAAGCAAAATTGAATAGACTTTGACACGGACCAGTGTTTCTAAGGTTCCGTCATGGATGGAGCTCTTTCGATATAGGCTCGATCAATGATGAGTCTACCCTATCCCAACCATGCCTGTACTACAATGCCAACTGAATTGGTTAGCAATTTAGGTTTAAGGTAGCAGTAGTGGTGGGAGTTAATACAGTTTTAATTATCAAGGATTTCTTCAAAATATTTTGTTCACAATTTCTTTTGCAAGTATTCACATAGAATGAAGGTGGTGTCAACACCAATATATACACTGTAACTAAAACAGTGCGAGAGTCTTTATTTCTATGTTAAGCAAATTAAGAAAAATGTAGGAACAACATTTATAGATCCCCTCTCTATAAGAGAAGAGATGTTTTTTAAGGCTTGTAAAGGGAGTGTAGAAGGGGTGTATCTATACACATGGACCTGTGATTAAGATGACAGTAAGGGTTTCTTTTTTAAGCTTTGCTTTTGATGCTTAAAGCGTATGTCATGAAATTTATCCTTGGGTTTAATAAAATTCCAGTCCTTTTCCAGATTATACATTATGTTGTTGGAAGTTTAGTTCTTGATCAGCTTTTTTGATTGGATACGATATTGGACAAAAACTTGTGAAAAAACAGACTGCCAGCGCAGTGGCGAGGCTGTTTCTTTGGCTGATCAAGATGTTCCAACTGACCCTTGTGGTGGACAAATGGAAGAAACCCAAGTCTAAAAACAAGCCAAGGTAAAGGTAAGACGCAGGGGTTGTAAGGGTAAAGGTAAAGAGGCCAATGACAACCAAGTCATGCCAACCCTTGAAAGCCAACCTTTGGAGGCTAACTGTGGTGATGGGTAGGTTGGTCCCTCGGGTAGTAGCCCAGTTTCTCCTGGCAGCCTGGAAATATCAACTTTGGTGCTTAAACTATTTTTTACGAAACGAGCCCAGCTTCGTTTAACGTTGAAGTTATTACCTCTATTTTATTGTGTCATATACAGAGATTCGGGCATAGAAACACTAACATATAGTCATATTAAAAACATGTTAGGCACACCAACATAAAATTTCCAGGCAACAATCACTAAGATATATTTTTTCCTCTTCTTCTTGCTTAGCTTTTTCAGAACTGCTGCAATAATTATGAAAAGTTAATGTTGTACTTCTAATGCCGTAAAGTTAAAGCATTTGTTTGTCTCCCTTACAAACTCAATGTCAAAGGAAACTACAGAGTAATAAAATAAATCCATGGTTGAATCACATAGTTAAAATGACAGAAACAATGTTCCTTATATTGAAAGGAAATTATATACTCATAGAGCCAAGCACCTCATATTCGTACGAAGAGGGGCCTCATTTTGTTCAAGCTTCTAATAGTTTTAGGGTTACTAAACCAAAATATATTCAACTATAGATATATAGAAAATGGAAAATATTTAAAAAAAGGAATCAAACATTCAAAACATTAACTTTCAAGAGACTTAAAAAATGTTTAGTCAACAAATGAACTAACCAAAAATGATGTGAAAGTTTCAAAAATCTAATTTCAAGACAAATATAAAGTAATCCATTCAAGACAGATTCAAACTACTTTCAACACATATTTCAACAATCTAATCGATTCAAACTCTTAGCACCAGCCTTACTCACTAAAATAGCATTAGACATCCTTTCTCCCTCTCTATGCACACTGGTATTCAACATAGCTGAAATAACAGGAGCCCAAAATTTGATTCCTATTTTTAGAGGCAGTACATATTAAGTAATGTATTGAAACATCACTCTAATTCTAAAAGCATAAAGTTACATCATCCACAAATTATACGCACAGGTATTTCCTGGTTTCGAATTTCAGGAATTCATCAATTAGAAGCAAAATTAATCATAAAAGAAAATAAATACCTGAATGAATCACAGGCCAAACGAATTGAATGGTAAGATGGAGGATTGATGCAGCCTGAATACGCTGGCCGATACCTAATTGAGATGTGCGACAGAGAGATGCAAGCCGACGGAGATGTGCACAGGAGAGGAGAGTAGAACGAGATGAGAGCAGAAAGGTGCGACTGATTAGGTTAATTGTGCGCCGGAGAGTAGAAAGAGAACGAGATTAGGTTTACAGATTTTGTTTGTTTTAGGAGATGAAGAATTAGGCGGGCGGAATGGAGATGATGATGAAAAGTTAGGCGCGATTAGTTTTTTTACTGAATTAAAAGAAGTGGGACATGATTTTTTTATGCGTGAGTAATTTTAGAATTTAAATTACTAAAGAGTAATTATTTTAATTAATAAGTTAAATGCACTTTCTTAAATTAAGTATATATAAGTCATTTGGCACACTTAATTATGTGGGTACATGGAATTACGTATAAAAACTCTTATAAATTTGGGGAATCTTTAAGTGTTAAATTTTATTGCCACACTTAGTTAAGTGTGGCAAATTAAATGCGGCTAAACTATATTTTTCTTGTAGTGCCCCCTCCGGTTCAATAGAGTCGCCTGTGAACCCGGTCAGAGGAGTCTTAATGGGTAATAACTCATCTCTCATCAGACCCAGAGCCTTGTAAGTATCCATATACATGATGTTAACGGAACTTCCCGTATCCACAAAAGTCTTGTGGATAAGCAAGTCCATTATATCAATTGTAATCACCAAAGCGTCCCTATGGGGGACCCCCGTTTCTGGTAGATTAGCATTAGAAAATAGAATTGGCTCAGTTTTCAGCCTCTTACCTTCCGGTTGGGCAGGGGCCGCCACCTTATTAACCATCGCCGCACTAGCCCACTTTTTCCGACTTGTGGCCAAATCTCCACCAATGTCCCCACCAATGATGTAATTACACCCATGGTGCCTCTTCTGTCGGTGTGGCGCGGGTTCTGAATCTTCCTCTTCATCCTCGAGTCCAATGTGGCGTTTCTCCCGGGCCTCGGCTTGGGCCACCTGCCCTTCTCTCCGCCTTCCGTTCTGAGCATTCCCGGGGTTTCCCCCGTCCCCATCTTGTACAAACTTCTTCAGATGACCCCGCTGGATTAGCCTGGCCATCTCATTCTTCAAGGTATAACAATCTTCTGTGTTGTGATCTTTCTTGCGATGGTAAGCGCACCATTTCCCAGTGTCCTCCACATTGCAGACCTTCTGGGAATAGGTTGGATATGTCATTAGTCCCTGCTGTGCAACATGGGCCATGACCTCAGCCACCGGTAATGTAAACACTGGATTAGCAGATTTGTGCTTCTCCGAGGTCCCGGGGCTCGTGCCCTTCGGGCCATCTGGGAAGCCCTGCTTCTTGTTTTTGAAAGGCTTCTTGTTTCCCGCCTTCTCTTCTTCCTTGGGAATCTTCTCTTTCTTCTCCTCCTTCCTCTTCTCCAGAGTCACATACCTTCCTGCCCGTACCATTGCTTTCTCAAAGGTATCCGGGGGATGGGTTGTGAGATCGGTATGAAGGAGACCATCATGCAATGCCGCCGTGAACATGGCTAACCTGGATTTATCATCGGTTCCTTCAACCTCCCTGGATTCTTTCCTCCATCGGACGAGGAAGTTCTTCAGGGACTCCCCGTGCTTCTGCCGCACTGAAGCCTAGTGGGTAAAATGCTTTTTGGACGGCACTTCCCTGCAAAATGCTCTAGGAACCACAATCCCAACTCATCCCAAGTTCGGATCGATCCGGCTAGAACGTGATTCACCCAATCAGCAACCTTGCTATCCACCGTCTGCAAGAAACATCGGCACATCAACGCGTCGCTGGCATCAACGGCGATCATCACCTGGACATAGCTATTTATGTGTTCTTGGGGATCTGACTCCCCATCATAACGCTTGACAAACGGCATTTTGAATCCTTGAGGTTATGGTTCTGCAATGATCTCCGGGGCGAGCGGTGTATTCGTCCGGGTAGTGAACACTCGTCCCTTGTTTATCTTCCTCTGCATCTCCTGGATCTGTTGTCTCAAATCCTGGAACTCGCCAACTTCCAGCACTTGTGGCCCCAGACGCTGCGGTACCGGGACCCTGGCTTGGCTTTGAACTTCCTCCTCGTCCAAGACCACCAATGATCACATTCACAGTTAGAGGATGCCACTTGGCTGGTCTGGGGTCGTACCCAGCCCTGGGGTGCCTTGTCTGGATTCTTCCCTAGCCTCTCACGAACGTGAGCCCTCTGGTGAGATATCCTTTCACAAACTGTTCCTCGCGGGTTTCCGTTTCCGTTGCCTATGACTTGACTCACGGCCCTGGTCCGATCTCCATTTGCCTTATTATTCCGGGCCATCTCCTCCGCCTGGCGCCTAGCGATAGCCTGCCTCTCCCTCTCGACCTCTTCCGGATCGTGAAGCTCCTAGAGGATGGGAGAACTGGCAGTGCGCAGGACCTGGCGGGGCTGCCCGGCAGGGACATTCCGGGTGCCAGATGGGCCAGGGAGAGCCTGATCTAAGCGCTCCATAATGTTGGCCATCCTGTTAGCCACATTATTCAACGCCGTTTCCAGCCCGTTGACTGGAACAATAATGCCTTGTTCAGGCTGGTCACTCCTCACCGTCGACTCGGCGGAAGCGGCGGTGTTACGTCTAGTCCTTCGTCCAGCCATAATCTCACAATTTCGTCTCACAGTTAACTCTCAATGAAAGCACCAATGATGGGATTAACCCGATCAAATGGCGGACCAAGAACGGAATAAGAATACGGAAAATATAATCTCAAAATATATTCTTAATTGGGTCTGTAATCAATTGTTCTCTCCTTACAATGGCGGGTTCTTCCCCTTTTATAGTACTTCTAGTTTCTAAGTTAAGGTTACACATAATGGGAAGGTTTTTGGAGATCATGGGGTCGTGATTCCCTCCCTTTCAGGTCTTGATCTCTTTCCATTCCCTCCATGACTTGGGGTTTGGGCCACGCGTCCTGTTCCCTTCTCGGACTGGATCGTCTCAATCCAGTCCATGATTGGGCTGTCCACCTCGTTATCCACATGCCCCCTGGTGGGCCCGATCCGTTACACGCATCTGGACTCACTTACCTTGCACGATTGTGGGCCTTTATCGGCCCTAGAGTCGGGTCCATCAGACCCGATATCCATCACCATGCTTGCTTGTTTCATTTGGTAAGTAGAACCAAAAAGCATTGAAGAAGCTCTAACTGATTCTGATTGGATCAATGCAATGCAAGAAGAACTCAACCAATTCACCAGAAATGACGTCTGGAAACTTGTTCCAAGACCTACTCATAGCCATGTCATTGGGACAAAGTGGGTCTTCCGGAACAAGATGGATGAAAATGGTGTTGTTGTCAGAAACAAAGCCCGGTTAGTTGCCAAAGGTTATTATCAAGAAGAAGATATAGGTTTTGATGAAACCTTCGCTCTAGTTGCTAGACTTGAAGCTATAAGGTTATTTCTGTTAGAGTTGTGCCCTGATGGCCAACTGTTTATCGTTATTCTATCATGTATAGGCAGATATAATATGTTTACACATCTCATGCTAATGTAAACAAATATTATATTCCTAGATTTATATTTAAAAGATGTTTATCAGGTAATGTTATTCTGCTGATGAGACTAACATCTTGAAATAAATATTTATCTAAATGTCCATAGTCGAGTATTAACGAGAGTGGGATATCGTTAATGCATGTGAGACTAGTGTGTGTTGGATGTTTGACTTAGTCTCATAGTCAATGACGGTGTGTTCGCATCCGCACATGGGCAGATATTATCTAGAGATAATAGGATGCCGGACTGACCCATCCTAAAGATGTTGCTTGAACTTTTAGTTCATGCTCTAAGCATCTTTAGCGCGACCACGGGTGTAACTATCCTTCGACTTGAAGTATTACGTTTTCTGCATATGTGAACCCGCATGCTTTGATGCATTGTCCTAAGCCATATGAAATAAGGATGGTATA